TCTTGTTTCTATGCTTAGAAATACTGTGTGTGTGTTTTTTCTTGCTGATGCTTTGATCTTCAACAGTGCTATTTATTAAGCTCATAAAAACCACACCATAGAGCCGAGGATGTAGTTCAGTGGTTCCGTTGCCTGCTTCGCAAGCGGAAGGACCCGAGTTTGATCCCCAGTACCAAAAAAAACCCCAAAAAACAAAAACCCAGACCACACACTTCCCATATTTTAGTGAAGTAAATAATTCATAAAACTTAAGATTGCTTTTATTTATTTTGTGCGATTTCAATTTCATGAGTGCCCTGAAATTGATACGTCAGTGTAATTTAGCCCTTTGTTAATTTATGTTGCTAATTGAGTTTATGTTGTAGTAACTTTTACTTCCTTTGACTTGTGTTTTTTAATTTTTTCTGAACTTGTTGGTGATTTTCATCATTCGTGACGGAATTGCAGTATTTCTCTTGTCCACTGATTGAATTCTTATTTATGGAGTTGTGATTGCAGCTTTGAAACTTGCTATACTGAAAGCCCAGCTGGTGCTCAGAATCAGAAGGTCTTGGAAAAGTGTGTGTTAAATGAGTAAATGTTTTGGTCATATGATATTTTCCTATTACTCTTGCTTTTTGTTTTTTTAATCTGTTTACTTTGTGCCATCCTTTTAGCACCATTTTATTTTTGTTACAGGAGTAAGGTGTCTGTGTATGTATGTCTGTTTAATGTTCTTCCTCCACCAGGGAACTAGGGTGAATCTACCAATTAGGAAAAGGGGGTCAATAAGAGGCCCTCAGAGTTTAGAAAACTTTTATATTTTCATTGAGATACCAGAAGCTTTGAACCAAAATGTCATTACCCTTTCTTCTCAAATTTAGATGTTATTTTAAACTTAAATTAGACTTATGAAAAAGCAGCTATCTCATCATTCATCTTTACTGTGTATATCATATAATTTTTTTCTGAATTTCTGTCATCCTTATCATTTGGTCACATGCAACTCATACTATCCTATGTTTTGCCATTTGAATCCTATACTCAAGGGAACAGTCTGTAAGATTTTAATCCTCCAGATTGTGAGAAGTAGTGCAAGTGCTTGTAAATTGCTTAAGTGAAATAATTCTGAAAGCATACAGTAGTAGAGTAATGTAATAGAATGAGTGATCTTGGCATTCATTACTTGCTACTTTTTTGGCCACCTTTTAATTTTTTTTTTATTTTTTGCTTGAAACTTCTTAATAACATTTGTTAGGGTAACGTTAACATCAGTTACTATTTCTTGAACACCGAGTGGCCACATACAGTAGTTGAAGGAATCCACAGCCGGGATTATTGGAAGCCTCGTGAAGCAATCGGGCTGCATCAATCACTTTCCGTTCCTGGGTCCCCAGTGCATACTTTAACTACAGCTCTTTACACATTTTATTGTATTTTTATCTATTCATGCCTCTCCTTTCCATGGGACTGGCTCCTGGGAGACAGGAAGCTGTCTCCGGCAGACCTTGGCTCCCAAGGTGTTTGCTAAGTATTTGATCAAATGTCTTGTGATTTCACTGAGACTATTCTGGTAAAAGCAACCTCTTCTTTTAGTTCAGCATTTCTCACGCAGAGGCCAGGTGTGTGTGGTGTGCCAGGGTGGCTCCATGGCCTTTCCATCAGGGCCCTGAGAATTTACACACACATTTTCATGTGCTCTTTGCATTTTATTAAATGAAAAGCAGATTTGAATCATCAGGGTGGATTCTTAGCCACACTGGCCCACTGAAGTGATGGTCTCTGCATTTACTATGACTCAAAGGGTGACCACAAAGGCTTCTTCATGCAGGCTCTGAAGTTCAAGTTTGAGGATGTTGCTGTCAGGGGCAGTTAAGATGCCACCTTCTTCTTGGAAATGGGTCCCTCAGTACTCCCAGTTAAGTATTCCCCTTGCACATCCTGTGTGTTGTGACTGGTAGGCCCCCCTCAGCTCTCTGCACCCTCCCCAGAGTCAGAACTCTGTGTCTGTAATCCGTTTCACGCCATGGTACAGCATCCACTTGAGCTCTTTCTAGCTGTGCCTTCCCAAGTGGGCTCTCTGCTGGACACTCAGCCTGGGACTTTCAGGGATCCTCTCCAGCTTAGGGCTGGTCAGTCAGAATGAAGCAAGAGGTGACTATAGTAGGCTCAAGGCAGACGGATTTGCAGTCTTGTTCTTTTGAAGTGAGAATTGCTGTGGTAACTGATTTTTCACTTCTAAAAGCATTTTGTTTTTTCAACGTTTTTCTCATAGATATTTTTAGTCATGCTGTTTGTCTTTAATATGGTAAGCACGTTATTTTCTAATGTGTCTAATTCTAATACACTTAGTCCTGTTTCTGCCACCTGTCTCTACATAACCCTTTCATGTTATTAGGTTACCTCATGTACTTGTTTACCCGCTGGTCACTGAGTTTGACACATTACTTGTTGGAGTGCCCCAGGTCCTAGGGTGAACCTCTGGAGAGGCCTCTGTGTGTTTTCTAAGATATGAAGGGCAATTGCAGACTGGAACCCAAGTAAGATCAGTTTAAGCTTGCTGTAATAGGATTCAAAGCTAGGTCTTTGGGTGCCTTCTGGCTCGCCCAGGTGTGAGGCTCAAATAGCTGGCTAAGGGCTATCATTTCTCAGGATAGGGCTCCTTTTTCATTTCCTCTTCCCTTAGAAGGAGGATTTGGAACCACTCTGGTCTCCTGAGAAGTCCTGTAAGTTCAGGGGCAGGCACTTTGGATTCTGGTTATTTTCCTGAAAGGGCAGCCCTTTGGCGCACCATCTAAATGTGAGGACGATGTTCTATCAGGTCTTGGGTGGACCTGGGCCTCAGTTTTAGTACTCTCTTCCCATTTCCTGATGCCACAAAGCCAAAGACCAAGACTGTGTGGGTGGCAGTTGGCTCTTACTTCTCAGGGTGTCCACTGAGATTGGTCCAGGAGCTCTTGCTCTGTTTAACTCTGTTGTTGTTTAAGGGCTCTTCCAGACTCCCCCAGGAAGCATGTATTTTATCTAATTTTCTTCTCTTCTTCCTCCTTCCCTTCCTCTCTTCTTTCTCCACCCCTCCTTCTTCCCCATATTCTTCCCTCTCCTTTCTAGTAGAATAGCTCTGATTCATCTAGCTCACTAATTCTGGAAAAAAAGAGACCTCAAAAATCAACTTAGAGGGGCCGGCGATTTAGCTCAGTGGTTCCACCACCTGCCTTGCAAGAGCAAGGTCCCGAGTTCCATCCCCGGTACCAAAAAAAAAAAAAATCAACTTAGAAATAGTAAATCATTATCAATTGTGTGTAGGCATTTAATCAATCATTCCCCTTTGAGCTTCTTTTAAACTTGTTAGTCAAGGTAGATAAGAAATTATAAGTCAGTAAGAAAATATGTTATTTAGATATTTCCTGTAAAAGAAGAGTTTTTTCTTTCCCGGTACCAGGGATCAAGCTCAAGATGTTCTTGCCAGGCAGCTGAGGCACCATTGAACTATATCCCAGGCCCCAAATCCCCCAGAGTAACCTCCAGTTATTAAAAAGATTCCAAGAAATGAGTAGCTTGAATGATGACCTAACCTACTAGACTGTATTCATTAAACTCACCACCGAGACACTGCTGGTGGGGAGAAACAGAAATCTAACTCAAATTAGCTTAAGCTCAAAAGGTATTTATTGGCTCAAATTGAAAATCCTAGGATGGATAGCTTCAGGCACTGTTGTGTCCAGGAGCTCAAATACTGTTATTGGACTTAGCGGCTATCTCTTGTCTGATTTTCTGTGCTAGCTCCTGTCTCTGGCAAGCTGGCTTCTAGGAACTCCAGATTCTCAGCCTGTGCTTGAAGTCTATGACCTCCAAACTTTGATTATGCATTCAACAGTAAATTTGGACACATTATTCCCAATGTGTGCATACTTATTTATAAATGATTATACAACGCTGTTATACATAGTATTTCCTGTATATTGTTATATGTATATTCCATAAGTTACATTAATTATTATGTATGTATATTCTGTGCTAATTACTGGTAGAACTCAGGGGTTTTGTTTTAAAGATGAAGAATAGAAGTACTAGTGCTTTCTGAACTCCCGATGTACTTTTTTTTTTTTTGCATATACCAAGTTGGAGACCACTTAGTGGAAAGAACAGACTTGTCCCATCACTTTTAGCTCTAGTCCTGTGCCCACTTCTCATGGGTTCTTCTTGGTTCACCTTGACTCCTGAGACCAGAGTCCTTGAAACAGTAAAAGTAAAATTTTACTACTATTAGGTGGCAGATTTTGACTAGAGAAATGGTATTTTAAGTTTGGAAGCTGTTTATGTTCTGGAACCTTCTAATCATAGACATTTTATCCACAAAAGGTGGGTACATGATCCTTCTCTCTCAGTATAGGGTTATGTAATAAATATTTTCTACTTCCAGAGCAATGTAATTACATTAGTCTATATTAAAGCTCTATTATTGCATACCTGAAGCATCATGAAAGTGACTTATCTAGTTTTCCTTCATACACACTTACAGCATATTCACAAACATACCCAGACACTATTATATATCAATACTCTTACACATTCAATCTTACATTCATATTCTCTGTCTCTTTCTCTGCCTCTCTCTGTCTCTCTGTCTCTCTGTCTCTCTCTCTCTCTCTCTCTCTCTCTCACACACACACACACACACACACACACACACACACACCATACCACACTTTCTCATAATACTCTAGGACAAGAGACAGTTGTATGTTAAGATGCAGGAATTAACTAGTCTTACAAAATAAAGTTCCACTTTTATCATTTCTGAGAATGGCCATTTTGAACAAGGTGGGTGGGTGGGTATGTGGAAAAGCAGGTGATAGAGGGTCTAGAATAATTCTCAGATTTCTGAGAAGAATAGGAGCTCACTGGCTGGAGAGAGTTGTGTTTGTATTGCAGGCAGCACATGTGGCCAGAGAATGTTACTCAGGAGCTTTCTGGGGGAAGGCTCTTCAGAGTATTTAAAAATTGATCTTCTGTGGCAGAAACACAATGGCACAGCTTGATTCTGAAGTGAAAGAAGAATGTTTGAGAGAAGACTTGAAGTTTTACTTCATGAACCCCTGTGAGAAATACCGGGCCAGACACCAGATTCCATGGAAACTGGGTTTGCAGATTTTGAAGATACTTATGGTCACCACCCAGGTAACTCACACGATTACTTTTTCCTGATCTGAAAGGTCTATATGCAAGTTTATAAAACTGTAAAATTATGTTGTCCCAGAGAGAGCCAGGAGGGTGAAGTGTGGTTTAGAAGATGATCTTGTTTCAGTGAGAGATCATGGGGTCACCTCCCTGAAGTGTTTATAAATACTGCATACTGCAGATCAGTATTGAGGGGACTTTCTACATCTATGTGAGGCCCACAGGCTGGCCAAGGCTGTCAGCCCAAGTGACTTATGTTCTTGAAATCCCCCATCTTTATTAATATACACCTTATTCAAATATGGTTTTGAAATGAGCATTATTTTGTCTTCAGACTTTTGGACTGCTTTTCATTTAGCTTTTGAGCCTCTGGTACTTAGCCAGCTTTGGGGGAAGCTTCTCTGCAGATATCTGCATTTGAAACTTGTGCCATTTTAAAGGTAGTCCTTGGGCTGGGGGTGTAGCTTAGTAGTAGAACACTTGTGTAGCATGTATGGCGCTCTGAGCTTGATCCCCAGCACCACAAAACAAACAAAATACAAACATTTTAACAGTCCTGATTTGAGATATTTGGCTTTATTGCTAGATAGTCATTCTGACATCAATATAATGTTATTTCTGGAACATAAAATATACATATTTCTCTACATATTTCTGGATATTAGAGGCGGTCCCTGCTATAACTGAAGTTGCATCTTTATTCTGTGCTCATAAAGAGATCTGTCGTTTGTATGCCAGGGCCTCCCAGCTCATTCAGCTTTGGGGAAAGCAAATTACTCCAGAAGAAACAAGTCTGAGCTGCAGATCACTGTGGAAAGTGATGCTTTAGTCTGGCAGTTTTAATTCTGGCAACCTATAAGACAGTTGCATTGTTACCATTGTAAGAAAATTATTTCTTGATTATTTCTTTAAATAATGTCCTCATCTGTCATTTGGTTAATTTTAATTGTCTTCCAGTTTCTTAGCCTGCTAAACCAGCTTCCATCTTGAGTTTTTGATCTAGTACAGTTACCAAAATTCCATCTCCGACAGGTGTAAAACATTATTCTCATCTTTGACTAACTTTTCTTTATTCTGATAACTACAAATTACTATTGATTTTTTTCTAATCAAAATTACATCTGTTTATATTTTGTTTTGAGACAGGACCTTGCCATGTTGCTTAGACTGATCCTGAACTCCTGAGCTCAAGCAGTCCTTTTACCTCAGTCTCTCAAGTAGCTGGGGTTACTCTGTGTCTGTGTCTGTGTGTGTGTGTGTTTTGTTTTGTTTTGTGGTGCTGGGGTTTGAACTCAGGTCCTTCACACTGAGCTATATCCTTGGCTCTTTTTTTTATTTTTAAAACTTTGAGATAGGATCTCACTAAATCACTAAATTGCCCAGACTGGGCTTGAACTTGTGATTCTCTGGCCTTAGCCTCCCAAAGCGCTGGGATTACAGGCATGTGCCACCGCCCCAGCGCTATTTACGCTTTTTGATACTGTCTACCTTATTTCTAGCATAGACTTTTTTTTTTTTTTTGGTACCGGGGATCGAACTCTGGTCCTTGCACTTGTGAGGCAAGTGGCGGAACCACTGAGCTAAATCCCTGGCCCTTCTAGCGTAGACTTTTAATCTCAAGTATAAATGAAGCCTCTGACTTGCTGGGTGCTGAGTCGGGAATACAGTTGTGACTGTATTATACTGCCGCCGACCTCTGACACTTAGCATAGTGTTTGCCATGTGCCAGACACAATGAGCATTTTTTAATGTTAATTCATTCCATCCTCACTGCAACCCTGTGAGGTAGGTTCAGTTATGATCCCCTTTTTATGGATGGAGAAACTGGGGCAAAAAAAGTTAAGGAATTTGCTTACAACTATGCAGTTAGTGAGTGGCAGAGCCAGGATTGAGCCCTGTCTGGCTCTGCAGTCTGCACCCCCTTCTCATGCTTGTGTCTGTTCTAGATCTGGGTTCTGTCCTTAGAGTTTGCAGTTAGGAATGCAGATAGGTCCCCTACGGTAGGCTGCATCTCTCTTCATGTTGTGTTACCTTTCTTACCCACACACACCAGTCCGTTTCAGTTTCCCTTAGTACAGCTCTCACCCCTGCTCAGAAAGTTCTGCAGCACCCATCTTCCCCAGAAGAAAACTTTGACTCTGTGGCCTGGAATTCACAGATCCCACAATCATGTTCAACTCATCTTTCCAACAAGTTCTCATCTACTGCTTCCTGCCCAAATGCCAGCCAGTCAGACCAACCCCACCCATGCCCTGTTTATTCCACCATGTCCGGGGTGGTTATTTTACCCTCTGACCTTGCAGGTGCTATCCAAAGTCCTACATCCCCATCAACCTTTCCTGACACCGGTTGTGATTTTCCTTAATACTCCTTGCTTCTACATCACTAATTTTGTTTTTAATAATAAAGTATTTCTGGGAGCATACAATTTGCTTTTTGTGTGGATATATCTGCCTCCCCCAGGAAAATTGGGAGAGATTCAGCTTTTGTGACCCTGTACAATCGTTCTGTTAAGTTCTGTTACTTGGGTGATATCTAATTAGAGCAGATTTCTTGACTGCCTTTCCTTCCATCAAATCCCATTTTTCTTTCCCTCTTTTTCTGTTTTTTTTCTCTCCATTCTCAAGTCTAATGAAATGAGTGGCATTTTATCAGGGTTGATGAGAAGGGAATAAAAAAAAACATTCCTACTCTGAATTCTGCAGTAATTCATAATCTCAAGGGAAGTTTGGCATTCCTTTGCTAGTTCTATCTTTTCCTCCCATATTCTTTGTCCAGCATTAGGGTGGTATCTTGCTTTTACCTGATACAGAAGTTTTCTCATAAGTTAAATTCATAAGGAGGTTTTCAATTTACAATCTTTTCCAGACTAAATTTAGTAATTATTTTTCTGTCTTGAATTGTGTTCTTAGTGAACCTTAAGATCTAGTTGCTGGAATGGGGTGACATGTTTGCTGTCAACTGCTTCTTGAAAATTATGTCATTTGGACCACAGCATTGTGCCTTCCCCTTGCTCTGAATGGAGAGTCTTGTTCTGTCACAACAAGAAAGAGACTTCACGGCTTTCTTCTCAGGGTTTGTCTCCCCTAAGATGCTTTGGAGATACCAACCCTTCTCTGATGCTAGGCCATCCAGAAAGGTCTTGGCTTGTTCTGGGAACAACAGAATGGAAGAGATGTGTTGTTCTTGATGTCAGATCATTCTGAAAACCACCCAGAGAGGTGTGGTTCCAAGCAGAGATCACAGCCCCATGTCTTTTTCCTCTTGAAGTTGAATTGGTGGCTTAGAGTTTAAATAAGGTTGTGGCTTCAAGTATTGGCAAATTGTCTGACACTTTTTGAGTCAGTTTGTCCATTCCTTATTTGGATTTTTGGCATTTCTGTAGCTTCACTTTGAGTGTGGGAGGAAGGATTCAACAGCCCTGCATCTAAAGTTGGCAGCACTTCAGTTTAAAGGGTGATATGTCCAGGTGGTTGAGAGAATGAACAGGCTCTACTGTCAAACACACCTGGTTCAGATCCTCACTCTGACACTTTCTAGGTGTTCAAGGTTGGATAAATTACTTAACTTTAGGATGCACATGTATGAAATGGGATTATATTTACCAGTTTATTCAGTACTTGACATTGTGATAGGCATGATTTCATTTTCTGAGCATATACTAGTAGGAGAAATGTTTTTGTCCATATGGGGCCCCATGTAATAGCTCACTCATAAAATATGAGGGAATTAAATGAAATATAATCAGTATAAAAAGTTTTTTGCACAGTGCCTGGTACTCAGTGATAAGAGTTGTTATTCAATACAGTGCACTGTTGATCTTGCCCACATCGTATCCTTGGCAGAGAGGAAGCATTCAGCAAACTTTGAGTGAAGAACTTAATTCAGTGTTGCTACTAGTAAGGCAAGCAAGGACAGCAGATGTAGTATCTTCTTTTAAAATCTTGAAACAATTGTGTGTTGGTCCCCTGGCTTACTCTTTTAACTCTCAAGAAGCAACATGACCTTTTCTGGCATCCACAACCACCAGTGGCAGATTTTCATGGGCTTTGAAGAACCTTTAAACTTCAGTTTCTTGATTTTCAGCACAGGTTGGGTGATGTGGGAGGATTATCTAATGTTTTCCTTAAAATAGCTGGGTTTTTAGCAATTGCTCAATCCTTTGTGTAGGTTTTTGAGCAAAATGATATGATGAGATCAGAAATGCCAAAGAGTGTCATCTAAGTACATTCTCAAGCAATAGTTGCTTTTCATAATTTTGAAAAGCTAGCACTAAATCCTTTTTTTCAAAATAATTTTTTCCATCAAGTTTATTGGTACCTTTTAGGTATATAATACAGTTACATTCATCATTGGGAGCTTGTACCTTTGATAGAGAAAATTTAAACTATAGGTTAGTTATTAAGGTAGCTGAAGTAGAATAAATAATCCATTCCTTTAAGATTTACCTTTCCCATAACTCTTATTGTTTAAGGTGATGGCTAACTGAACCTTTGACCTGTAAACCTAACTGTAGATAACATTTAACCTGGAGAAAAGCAAAGTAGAAATGTTTGGGTAGTTTACAATGTCTGTGTTTTAGGCGCCATCTGTTTGTTATATGTGTGTGACTATAACCAGTAACAGGAACTAGTTGTAAAAGAGAAACAGAAATTTTACTAAGACCATCAGAAATGAGGTAATGGCTAAAAGAAGATATAAAAGGAAATGTTAAAACAAAGGATGGGGGGACATTGATCAGACGAGTTTCTGGCAGTCCCCCTCACTGGCAAGTAAAGGCTTTGTTTTTTTACCTAACTTCTGTGTCTCTGTACATTTCTTTCCAAGATTCCAGAACACCTTTACATGTATCTTTATTCTTATTTTTTCCCCTTTCCCTTGCCCTCCCTTCACCCCCTCCACCCTTCCCTATTTGCAAAGATTTTGTTTCCATTTTTTTCCATTTCTCATATTTTTCCTTTTCCCTTCTTTCCTTTCCCCTACCCTCCCACTACCCCTAC